TGTGAGATGACTTGTTTTACATTGGAAAGTTGAGATCTTATAAGCACTTTTAGTTGATAATAGGGAAAAACAACTTTCTAAGTGCTATCCTACTGTCGTCTGTATAAGAGTTGCCAAAAAATTCTGCACGGCAAGTCTTCCGTAAAATGTAAAAATGGGTAAAATTTTAAAATAGCTCATCAGAAATGACAAACCTGGATGTAGTCATCCACCTGTAGGACCCGACTAAGACTGGACACTCACAAAGATCTGTTCCAATTGAGTGCCAGAAGTTACTTTATATTTAGGAATTGCCTTCTAATTTAGAAAAAGCTACTGATTTATGACATATTGAAACACTTTGGCTATTGGAAAATGTGGTTATTTTATTGTGATTAGCATTAAGGCATATTGCATGATGTAATGTCATTACTGCTTACTGAATAAGGGCTCGATAATTTCCTAAATCCACGAGGGCGCCATACGCCACTTGAATTTTGCTTCTGGACAGTTGTTAAATTTTCATTAAATTTTTCATCTCACAACAAGTATCAAAGCATACCTCTATTATGAATTTATCAATTTATAAGTTTTGTTTAGGTATACTTTTTTACTCTCTTTTGTGCACAAAAGGTTTTTAATGAATTCCGTGGTGTATGAGGCTAGACCTCTTCATACAAAGTGGCAGAAACTGGGCGTGCGATAGAGTGGTCTCATACATGTCATCTTGCTAATAATGGTATGTTTGTAAGTAAGCGGAAAATGAGAGAACCCATCGAAATCGACAAGTTGAATAATACATTAAATGCCAGGAAAACTGGCACAAAGTTAAGTAGAAACAAAGTATTCCTAATTGATAGGTTTTAGGAGACATGGGATGTTGGGCTACCTGGAAAAAGGAGAGCACTCAACAAGTCTTTTGTTGGTAGGAGTCCTAATTTCGATTACACTTTCTATACATCTCTCATTCTCTCTCTCTCGCACACACACACACACACGCACACACACACAAAGGGCTCGAAAAGCTAACCAGACGACATTAAAATATATAAACATGGGGATTATTAAACCTTGCTGTTCTAATTAATTTGAGCTATAACTGCTAACTTCGTGAATAAACTTGCATTTCAAGGCACATAGGCGGACACAAACAGATACGTACACATGCTTCTGGATTGATATGTGAATTGAAATAACTAAATCATTATATACCTCGTCGAAGTGCACATGATTAGAGTATATTGACTGGACAACTAGAAGATGTTTATAAAAATGATGCCCTACCCGACGATGTTCATCATATGAAGGACAGAAGCCTAATACATTTTCACCGGAGTCGAGGGAGACTGCTTTGGGGACAGTTTCAAACAGAATGTTCCAGTAAAGCCAACCGTCAAGTTGCTAAGTGGAATCCGCCGTGGTCTTCGGAAGTGATTTAGCTTCAAAACTCTTAAATACATACATTTACTAGAAATGTAAGTGAGTTCAATTATTGTAAGCTAAGAAACTCCTCAAAATCAAACTTTTTTCCAAATACAAAATGTATCGAAAGGTAATTTTAGACAAATTTTTGTATAATAATGAATGCTACTATAAGTGCATAAAGTTATTTATTAAGTTATCTATACAAGGTTTGCATAAATTTACGGAAAAACGAGTTTTTTGCTGTTTTGCTGCCGTTTTAGGGTCAACATACACGCACACACGCATACATAAATAGACATATACTCATAGTCATCAGAGCGAACTTACCTCGGCTACCAGTTGTCTGGCCTTCTGGTTCTCCTGCACCACGATCTGCGATTGGCTCAGCGCAAACTGTGGTACCTCATCATTGACATCGATTACGTGGATGTGAAGTGTGGTGCGCTCGGTGAACCTGGAGTCCGTAACTAGGATTCGTAGTTGATAGGCTGTGCGGGACTCGTAGTCGAGCCCCTCCATCAGCCGAACCCCACCTTCCGGAGTGACGACAAACGTGCGATTCCCCTCTCGGCCATGCTTGTTGTCCAGGCTGTAGACCAGCTTTGCATCAGCGTCAGCATCGGTGGCATTGAGCTGACAAGAGGTTGTGCGTATGGTTGGGATGGAAGTGAAACACGTGGTGAGGAAGATGAGCTATTATATTCAGTTGAGATTAGGATCGTATACATAACCGGCGAATAGATAGCAAAAGATTGTGGGGCTGAAAGTCTCGAGATGAAGGTAATACTCCCATAAATAAAGAGATTAAAAAAAATTGGACTTTCACACCAAGCTCCCTTACAATATATATAAATAATTAAGCATATATTTTTATTCGTTTAGTGACCATGTAAGGTGGTATGGTTTTATACAGATTTGTAGTTAAGGCCCCCTATTATAGAATTCCACATCCATTGGGCATCGACAGGGCATCGAAAACGAAAAGAGCTGCTTCAATGTCAAACAAATTTACTGTTGGTGGGATCCTCAAGGTGAGTAAGGTGATTTAGGGACCAATTAATTTAATTTAACTTTAACTCACTAAATGTTTCTCCTACGGTTTGGAATGCAATTTTCACAATGTTAAAGTCTATTTTACAGTATCAAGAGGATTCGAACTTGCGTCGTGAGCATACGAGCAATACGTTACCACTGCGTAATACGACGATTTACCTAGAATTATTATCTGCTTATTCAAAATTCGCCGATGGCCTCGAGACAACTTACACTGATTATAAGTAACTTTGTCGATCATAAAGGGAAAAACATGTCTGCCTCATCGACAAGTCTGCCATAAAATTTGCTTTCGGATACGCTCTCGACCCAGTCTCGAATCTCTCAGGAAGTGCTGATGAGACCTAGGCAAATTTGAAACTGCAGCCCGGTTAGGGTAAGAAAACCTTGTATGCTCTTATTTATCGAATTTCGAATACATCAAACTTTTGTACAGATTCGCGCATCTTCCAGTGCATGCAAAAAAATGAACCTTAACGAGAGGATAATGACAAATTGTGCCTTGACATGTTGTTGGTTGCACCTTATTTGACCACTGATTAGCTAAATTTGGATCCTAATGCATTGGCGGAGAGATCCTGTCTCCTCGTTGTTAGGCTGCATCCTGTTGTGCCCATCTCAGCGACTGATTGATAATGCTCTTTGGGCAGCTTTTAGCAGAAATGGAGTGTCGTAAAGATGCGCCAAACTCGTTTTCTTGCAATCCATCATTCGCAACTTTAAGGAAACCATCCTTCGGTTTCAGGTGACGCCGATTAATAAGTCCCTTCCAAGCGTGTTCTCAAATCAAATCATAGGTATGTCAAGATTTGTGTGATTTTTTTTAGAAGCCATACCTTCGAGTAGCATGCCAGAATAGCTATCCAAAATATACACACAGAAACAGGGTTGATCAAAAATAATTTCAGTCTATCATTCATTGTGGTTAATGGGCAATCATATTTTTAAAAATGTGAAAATGGGCAATGGTGATATGCTACATTTAACGAGAAGATCAAAAAGGAGATCAGAATCAGAGAGTGCGTTTCGGTACTCTTAGTAGAACTTGATTAAGACATATTTCCCCTCAGGCACTAAAATCTTGAAGGGGTGGTGGTTGAAGCTTCATATACTACTTCAAGTAGGCGCCAGAGTTCGCCTAATCTTGCATCTCAAAAGGTTTTCTCGTCCAACTTTGTCTACAGATAACTGCAAATAGATGACTTTCTATATGAGTTTAGCTATAGAATAAGGGGAGATTTCTTGGAACGCCATGCAATTCGCTGGAATACTAGAAAACATTCGGGATGTTAGTGCACACAAAGGAAATGACACTAGGCCAAATCCATTATTTTAGCAAAATAACCAATGACTGCGATTTATCTGCGACTCAAAACCAGAAGTATGAAAAAAAATGGTTTTGAAGAATTTCTATGTGATATAGTGTAGCGTGACTTTCCATTTCGAATAAAAAGTTGGTTGGAAAGCATTTGTGCTGTGGTCTCACCGGAAACCGAGGGAGGATTGCCACAGAGTGAAGACTGTTGTAGTGCGCGAAGAAGTTTGAGGTAGTCAAACAAATAATGAGGGTCCCATTAAGATAGCAAGGAAAAGTGTATATGAAAACGACTAGCGTTGCAGCCGGTCATCTTTTCTCTTGGTTTAGTATATTGTTGCGGGACGGTGAGCCGAGGTGATCTTGACGCATAATCAACTTTTTCTTCAAAATACAACGTCATGTCACAATATATCACTAAGAGATACTTTTAGACCAAGTTTTTCTGCATATCTCGGGTCACCGTCCTGCAACTCCGATAAACCTGTGACAGGCTTTTGTGTGTACTGTCCTGACAGGAAGTCATCAGAGCAAGAATCTATAATTTACGAAATAGAACAAAAATGTACTAAATCAACAAATTTTATTAATTCGAAATGGAGAGTTATGTTACTTTTATACTTATTATTTTTCTTACTTTAGAATATTTTTGCTCTATTTCATAAAGTATGAATTCCCGCTCAGGTGATGTCTGTCAAAGTACAGACATAAACTCAGCAGAGGTTCATAGGGCTCGCAGGACGGTAAGCCGATGACTACTTTGTCCAATACAACAGACTTCTATACGCAGCAATCCTTATCATGAATTCCTTCCAACCAACCCTGCCTTCACAATGGAAAGTCATAAATTGACAATTTATAGAAATTCATATACAAATAGACTAGTTTACTTATTTGCTTCGCCATGTCATAATGGATACTTTGATTTTTAGTTTAGAATTAGCTTTTGGACACTACCGCTAGATCAAATATATGAAATGTATTCACCCTATTTCGTTAAGTTGATAAAAGAAGGGTAGTTAAATTTTCCCAACATCATATGCCTGTTAGGACTTACGTTGCCATTGAATTTCCCATAGCCTTGCCTCTAAAAGGTTTCCCATCCAGGCTGGAGAAGACTGCAGATTCAAACTCGCCAGAGTCTCATCAGTACATCCAACAGCACTCGAACCACTCTGGGTGAGAATACCTTTTGGGAAGCAAGGTTATGTGAAATGCACTGAAGTCATAGGGTCTACTCACAT